CCTGCCATTTCCATCAGTTTTAACAACCATTCTTGTACTATCCGAGTTTCTTTTTCATCCTCAGCAGGGGGAAGGGGGTCGAGATGGGGACGCCAAGAGGCCCCCCACCTCATGGCCGCCCTCAAGCAGGCAACCAGCAAACTGCGGATCTCCTCCATGTTCAGACAAACTGGGTGGTGGCTTTGCGACGCCCTGTTCGATGGCTCAACCAGATCATCGAAAGACCTAGAAATCTGGCTCGCTGTGAGCTTGGCTGAGGGTTCGGGGGATCTGTGCGCTGCCCCTTCGGCTGGTTGTTGTTCAAGACAGTGCGCAAAGCCAGAGCAAAAATCAGTAACCATGTTAGGTCACATCGACACAAAGAAGAGCAACACTATTCCAGGTTTGGGGGCTGAGGGCCTTTCCCAGCCCAACCAGGAGGGCCCCGGGAGCCCTGCAGCGGAACTCGGGATCCGGCCCGGGAAACAGGTGCTCTGCCAATGTGCCACGCCCTTTTCTCAGGTACACAAGCAGCTCATTTCCCCTTCAGACCGAAATAGCTGGAAGGGATCAAGGAACGGGGAAAAGCTTTCTTTCCTATCCCTGCGTCTCTGCCTAGCAGAGAAAAACCCCACAGAAGACCCCCGTCTGGGGGACTGCGGCTCCTGCTCGCCTTGCAGCCCAGCTCCTGGCTGGGGTCCATGGGTCCCCTCCCCTCCGGCTCCATCCTCTCAATCCAGCCCCCCCTCCAGAAAAGTCCTTCGTCTCCTGCCTCCCGGTACCTCCCTGGCGAGCGATGGTTCAGCTGGCAGAGGAGAGGGCCGAGGGCCGTGCCTTGGAGCCGACGTCGGGTTTGAACAGCGCTCTCCCCCTTGCAGGCAGGGCAGGGCTGCCGTGAACCTATTTTGGCGCTCTTCCCCCAGCACACAAACAGCAAGGAATCTGTGCGATGAGCACAAAGGGCCCTTGTGCGCGGCTCCCTACGGCTGCAGGGCCAGGTGAGTCCAAGGGAGCAAAGAACGCAAACTCGTGCAGACCCACATCATCCTAAGGAAGCAGAACTTTTATGCAGGGGGGCAGTGAGGCTCCCCCTTTGGAAGAGCGGTGGGGGGGCTACAGACTTTCAAACTACACCTTCCTAGTATGCTGAGATCCCATGCCCCATCAAAGGAACTCAAGAATATATACAGGGAATCCCCGGGTTAAGAATGCCTGGTTTAAGGGTTAGGGTTAAGGACGGCCCATAATTAAGAGTTAAGACAGAGCCCACTGTAGCAAAATTCGAGTCAAATATGCAATGGTTCGAGTTAAATACACAACGGTTTGAGTTCATTACACAATACTACTGATACAGCATTATACAATAATACTGTTCCAGCTTACGTACAAATTCGACTTAAGGACAGACCTTGGGAATGGAACTCGTTCTTTAACTGGGGACTACCTGTACACGGTTCTTCTTCCCGTCCTTGACTTCAAGTGGACCAAACGTTTGCATCCCCCCTCCCACCTTGTAGGGTCACTTTCAACAGACAAACTGGGACTTGGCCACCCCACAATGGGTGTGTGTGTGTGCAGATGTTCTATTTTTAAAGAAGAAACAGAAATGGGGGACAGCATTCTGAAACTGGGAGAAAGTTGGATTTGGAAAGTATTGTAGTAGACTTCATCACTGGGTAAGTTTAGTTCCCCTCAAAGCTATTCCGTGTCCCCCAAGTTCTCCCAAATCCCACCAACAGCCTCTATATTGGGAAAAGCACTTCAGGACCACTGCCGATCAGGAAGAGTTCAATCCCCCTCCACCCCCCCTTGTTTTTTCATTTTCCTTCTGGCTGCAAACAGAGACCCTGACTGCATTGGATCTGAGCACCTCCACAGGAGTGCAGTGTGGAAAGTCAAAAACTTGCAACTGGAAGAGAAATTTAGAGACCGTTTCCATCTCTCTTCTGCCCCTTCCTTTCCAAAAGCTAATGTATTCAAAATTCCTTTAAAACCTTAAAATGCAATCTGAATTAACAGGATTTTTCAGAAGCACATGCAGAATTGATAGGCCCCCGCCCCAAGGAACTTACAGACCAGGCACCTGCGCATTGCGACGTAGCACGGCACGCCAACCCAGCCCCTGTAGTTTGCAAGCGGTCATTTAGCAGGACCCAAGCCAGCTAACTGGATTAAGCAAACCACAGCTCAGCGTGTGTGAACCCAAGCAGCGGCTACATCCACACAACCTTCTCACCAGTACAAACCACACAGGAGGGATTTACACCACAACACAACATCAAAAAGAAAGAAACAAAACAAAATTTGGCTCTGTGCAAATTTTGCAAGAGTAAGACCTGCTAGACAGCAGCACCTAGCTAACCTTGGCTGATCCCTAAAAGCAAATACCTAGGAACCCGGTGAATGGGAAGCCACCGAGGAAAGCCAGGGTTGTCGGCTAGAGTGGAAGAAGGCGAGCCACATCCTGACTGTTCCCAGGGGAACGGCCTAATTGGGTCCACAAGTTGATCTCAACTGAAAGGAGCCTTTACCTTTTCATTGTATGCAACCTTTAGAGCGCCACGCCCTGAATTCTTTCATCCACCATGCAATTTCACATGGAATGACTTCAGCAGTGTTCCCTCCCCGCAGGGGATTTGGGAACCGAAGCCCTGTGAGATTCCTGATAGGGAGGGAATTAAACTCCTGCCATAACCGTTAACAGCAGCTTCTCTGTCTAGAGCTCCTGAGATGTGCCAGGTTTATAGCTGCCAACTTTCCAGCAAAGTGCTGGCTGAGGAATTCCACGAACCCAACCCATTGCAAAGGGCTGCCGAATAGCGAAAGGTGAGTAACAGTGCAGGGGCCCCAGGCCAGGGGCCCCAAGCCCCAGCTTGGTCCACTGACCAGCCGGTACGGCATGCAAAGAAGAGCGGAGAGAACAGGATCGCTTCTCATTTGCAGACCCAACCCTGGTCTCCCCTCCCGCAGGACGAGGGCTTGCAGAGGTCCCGTCTGCCTGAAAAATGGCACAGACGCCATGCTCCCCTCCCGCCACAGGCCGGGCACGTTCTCCCCAGCTGAACAGGTCGGGGGCTCCAGGTTTGCCATCTGGACTTAACAAGCGCTCTTCTAGCATTTTAGATGAGTCAAAGCTAGCAGGATTTCAGGTTGCAGCTGAGCAGTGCAGTAGGGAGAGGAAGCATTTTCTGCCATCAGCCCGTCACATGTCAGTTGAGTAAGTCACAGTCGCTGGGTTCCCATCACACCAAAGCAGCCTCCTTCCGACAAACCTCTCCTCCTGGCGTTCCATGGAATTAGCAACCACGCAACCAGAGGGCATCTAGGTTAGGGAAGCCTGTTCTAAGCCATGGGTTATAAGCCACAATGGCAACGGTTATACAACACGCTAAGCCAAATGAAAAGCTTAGCACTTTGCACCGACTCAGCTTTAGCGTCATGAAAGCTAAACCGCCAGACGAGCCTGGGGCGGATATTGTTTTCTTGACAAAGAATGAGTAAAGGAGAAATTAGGCGAGCCCTTTGCCACCGATGAGTGGTAGAGAACCGCCATTCTCCACCTGCATCTGCTAAAAGCCTCCAAACATTGCTATTTCTCACAGCAGCGGATTTGGACATCTACGCATTACTCAAAGAAGGATTTCGAAATCTTGTGACAACAAGGAGTTGCAAAGCCGGTGCCCAATTGCAGAACCCGAGATGCACCAGCAGCCCGTGTCAACTCACATGTCCTCAGAGATAAGTGCGCATAAGGATACAGTCAAAATATAACCCAATGTATTTAAGTTGTGAAATGAAGACTGAATTTGAAAGAGATCGAAACAAAGGTGGCAAATGCTTCCCTGCGTGACGTCGCGCTTGCCAGGCCGCCTTCACAACGATGCACAATCTTTGCATTCGTAACCTGGGTTCTTCATCAGGTCAACTGAAGACCAGAAGCTGCTTTTACTGAGCACGGTTAGTTGTAATCTTGATTAGCTATTGGTGGCTTAGCTCATTTTATGAATCCAGCAGGTTTGATGACCTTATAATTCAATGGACTGTGAGAACCCGGAAAACAGGCAATTCAGTAACCAAGCGAAGCGTGGCTTGAAGTGACAGCCACCTGAACGACACCATGGTCTGCTTGCCTTTGGATTAATGTGTCGTATGAATGTGTCGTACGAACCAGCCATGTAGTTTGTAAACATTTGCAATGTGCAAATCTACAATCAATGAACTTTGATCAGCCTGTCCTACCATCTCATCCCATGTGCCCATCTCAAAGGATAACGGGTCCATGCATCTCCTTAAGTTCTAAGGGAGTCTACTGAGTTTTTGCCTGTTTTTCAAAAGCAGTCACTGCCACTCAAAAGCCCCCCTTCAGGGTTTGGTGTTGGGTATAAACTTAGCCACAGCAACTTGCTCAACAAATCATGCTCACAAAACTCTGTGCTTAGCGCAATGTGTGAACCCACCCCTTTTATCCACAGCCATAGCCTGAGAGCACATGACGAATTTAAGACTGAAAAGCAGTCGGTGCCTGCAAGCGAAGCCATTAAAAATCCACAACTGCCCTGATGAAGGGGGACTGCCCTGATGAAAAGAAGTGAGCAGAATGCCCCCTTGTTCCCACAGCCAACGGCTCCGACGTCTGGGCGTGCCCAGAAGCATCGCTGCACAAAAGGCAGTCTGGAAAACTCTCCTCTTGGCTCACCGTCCCAAAGCCACAAACCGTCAGCTCTGCCAGCTCTCCAAGCAGGGCGGCAACTACAGGAGAGAGAAACTCACCAGCTTCCGGAGCGTCCCTTCATCCATGCTCAGGAGCGCCTCTTCAGACATGCTGCCGGCCTCCACCCTCGGCCCCCCTTCTCTCCAAAGAAGCCAGCCAGCCAACCACAGAAAGCGAGGGAGGTCTCTCCAAAGGCCAGTGGCTAGTTCAGGCTCGGAATGGCCAATGGCCGGCTTGCGAGAGGAGTTCTGGAAGAGAACAAACCCCAGCCGGGGCGGGGAACAGAGCAAAACAGCCATCAATTGATTATCTCCG